ATTATATTAACTTTCATGACTAACTCTGTCTTGTGGATATGAATCAGATATCAAGTTAGTCAACTTAACTATTATCCTCAATCCCTTTTGGGAATAATGCTGGCTCCAATCTAATGTTGTGATGCAATGTAATACTTCATCGAGTCTGTTCAATAAAATATTCAATTTTAAATTCGCGAAGGAGGGAGGAGGGAGGGGAGAGAGGTATTATCTCGTGATATTCGTACGAAAATGTCGAAATAACATGGAGGCGAGGACGTGCCTCGAGAAAAGGCTGGAATGGCCGACATTGTGTCCGGAGAGAGACCAGGTGTAATGTAGTTTAAAGCCGGCATGCGGCAGCTGATCTTTTCCCACGGTGTTCCGAGGCGGGTCTGAGGAAGTTCAAGAATGGACCAAACTTCCCTCTGCTCTTACCTCCGTCGTTTTTTCCTCCATTTCGTATAAAAAGCCCGCTCCTCTCTGCGGGCTTGTGTTTATAATTCCAAACGACGACCACGACAAAGAGCTGTGACCTGGAATGCAAAGTAAGGCTCGTGTCCGATCGTTTCACCGAAACAGAGGATACTTCTTGGTTGGATAAATAATATATTTTTCAGAAAATTTGTTTCATCCTTCCAATCGTGCCAATTATCATCGTTTAAAATTGCGTCGACACGATTTCGATAAATTAAAATTCTAAACTTAAGAAATATAAATTGATGGAAAGATATATATTTAATAAAAAGAAAACAAGAAAATTTCAATTTTTCTTTTTTTTTTTTTTAGTTAAGTTTAAAGAGAATTCTCGGGTATTTATAATTATGTTGAAAGAAATCTTGAATTTGATAAGAGATTATTTTATAATCTGGAGAGAATGTAATTGGTTACGGAAGATTATTTTAGGTCGTTTCTTATACATCAGATAATCCAATCTTTTCTTTTTAATCTTTCGTTCTCAGGCTAACTATTCTCTTGTAATTATATTATCAAGATCACAGAAGAAAAATTTGATTTTTTTTTTTAATTTTTTACTTCTACGTTAAAATTATCTATTTATTTTACTTTACATTTCTGATTAAAATATATATAGATATCAAGATTTCTATCTTTTTAATAAGTTAAGATATTAAAGTAAGTTTTTTAATTATTAAATAACATAAGAAACGAGAAATTTCACGTAATAGAAAAGACCAATCTATGATTAAATAAATTAAGATCAAGATCGATATCCAATCGTCTGCGGGAAGCAAATATTTTGCTTTAGATCGATCGTTCTTCTATTCGTTCCTAAAACAAGGAGAGGAAAAAAAGACGGTGAAAGTAGGAAGAGGTCGACACAATTGATGACGGCGTGCAATGAAGGAAAGGAATCAATTTATATCGTGCACAGGACATCGAACAGGACATTCAACTAGGAAGGTTCTAATTTTTTTAAACAACACGTTCTTCGAATCTTCCTCCTCGACTATCAGAATTTTGTACAATCTTCTGATACACGTTGAGAAGAGAGAGAAAAAAAAAAACAACTTTCTCTGCTTCAAACGATCATATCCTGTTATATTTCACTGGAACGAGGAGAAGGAAAAACGAGATAAGAAGATTGCAATCGACGATGTCGTGCAACTAAAAGATTCCAGTTGCAGAGCTGGTCGACCTGTATCCGAGGATATTGCCGGAAATCATCAATTTTCTACGCCACTTGATATGTTAATATTCCATTTGCTCGTTCGAATTTATCCTACGGAACACAAGTGGAAAGATCTTCGTGGAAGATCTGTTTCTTTTCGTCTCGAATGCAAAATTTCGCGGCACATCGCTTTGGAAAATTGTGTTTCGAAAGTTTCGCCAGTTGAATTGGACAGGTATAAGGGGTGTACGCGTGGGTGTGGCGATCGAAAGAGGGATGGAACGGAGGAATAGAACCCGACGGTTATGTAAATCAAGCGCCACAGCATATAGGATGCTGTGTAATCAAAGATTTCTCCCCCATTGTGCGTACTTCCAATTCGCCCAATTTCAATCTCTTCAGTTTACGATTTTTGCCTCGTTATAACGTCAAATTTTCACATTTTAGATTCACATGGTAGATTCAACAAGATATTATAGTGCTCGATCGAGTTGGTGAGAAATTATTATTAAATTTTGTCTTTAATTTTGGCAAGACAAACAATTTCGAGTGGCTCGTGACACTCATTGTTTATGATAAATTTTATGAGAGTGGTATTCTATGTTCAGGAAATATGTATGAAATTTAGAGGCTTGATTAACAGTTATGTACTTGAGAAAGATATTTACTCTTGAAATAAATGCTGTGAATGGAAATGCCAATAGACATAAAATTATTAATATACATATATTATAATTATAATAACATTATAATAATTAAACTACAGATATAACGTATACACAAAATACACATGACAAAATGTCCAAAGTGCTCGTTACAATATTTAAAGAATATAAAGCAAATCTGGATATTTAACCTCCATTTCTTTATTCACGTTCATAAAAATTTGATTTGGCTAATAAAAATCCACATTCCTCACGGTAACACAAACTAGAGAGTGCAAAGATGAAAAGCAAACGGAAAAGAAATGTCTCGCGGAGAAGAGGAAACGGAGGTAGACAAAAGGAGGTAACCGATGTCCGGTGGGGAGATCCTCGGTGATTCCATTCGAATATAGCCGCCGGGGAGGGGTAATAATTGGTTAAAAAGAATCTCGAGATACTTCCGGAAGAGGCACATGTTCTTGTCGGGTATCGTCGCCGACGAGAGCGGAATGGAGCAGCTGGCACAGATTTCATTAATTAAGCGCTCGTTGCTTCCACAACGGCGCTTCGAGCGTAATTGAATCAGGCCTGGCAAAGCGTTTCGAAGGAGTGACAAAGAGTGCGGGGGCGAGAGGGAGGATAAAGAGAGCACATCATCGGACGACGTCGACGTATCTGACAAAGATCAAACCGCGTCGAGGGCACGGTTCGATCTGTGCCTTCGTTCGATTCGATTCGATTCGAAAACTAAACGATATCCAGACAGAATTGGATCCTCCTTTTTGCACGGCGGTTACCGGTTTAATTACACGCCAAATCGGATAATCGGCCCGCTCTAAATATAACAGGTTTCTTTCTTTCGTGGAGAATCGATTTTCTCGCTTGATTTGCTGATCCATCACAGGCCGCTCTCTTTTTCCCCCTTTTTTTCGCTGTCCAAAGAGCGCGACAAGGACACGATATTTTTTTTTTAACGTACAGTTTATCGTTCATAAATATTTGAACACTTGGCCGAATCGTTATCAATCTTTGTAAGAAGATTGAAATATTCTAACTTGATGAAAAATAATCGAATTGTAATTCAATTCGCTTCGTTTTGAGTTTGATTCTTTCATTCTTCAGATATTAATATGAATATTATTTAAAAAGAGTAAAGAAACGAAGATGTTTATTTTCTTTCTCCTGGTACGCGTAAGTCACGAAATCTTGGAGGAAGAAAAAGCCGGGAGCAATTCTTAACCCGTTCTTTCTGTTCCAGGTCTCGTAGCATGTCTTGACGAGTAGGAGGAGCTCTTCAACGGGGTTTTCGGCAGACAAGGGTTCTCCAAAATGGCGGGCGGTCAGCAGCTTCCCGAACAGTACACGGTACCGCAGCTCGCTAAGGTCTTCCACGGCCTGCCGCACCTCAACGTCTCTCTCCACTCGGTCAACAACACCTTTAATCCACATTCCGAAATCTATCTCGAGGTAAGTAAATGCATATAACGTTTCCTTTTTGTTTTACAATATTGTAAACAAAATAAAATCAAGATTTAATTATATAATGCATCCTATTATATTGAAGTTTATAGTTTACTAGCATTAGAAATAAAATTTACGATTTGATTGCGAAATAATATTAAAAGAATTCATAAAAGTATCGGTATAAAATCAGATCAAAAGAAAAAATCGATAAAGATAAAGCGTATAAGAAATATTTTTGCATCGATCGATGAAAATTAACAAAGTTGAAAGAATATCGTTTTAACTTTTTTTACTCGAATCTGAAAACTTGATTCATTAATGCAGAAATAATATATAGAGCCGTGATTTTATTGGTTTTCAACGACAATTTATCAACGACCAACAACAATGCGCGAATCGTGTCCATGTCGCTATGTGTAAGCTTTAGCTGGGTCAGCGGAATAAATCGCATGTCGTTCGATTAACAGGATCGTGATAGCAATTCACTGAATTCTGCTAGTTACGTCAATATCTGGAAGCAATTCCTGCTCGATTCCTTTTTGGCCAACGTACAAAGCATTCTCGTTGATTTCCCGTAAAATGTCTCTCGATACTGCCTCCCGAAGGAAGAAGAGATTCTTTGGCAATGCTTTCCAAACCGAGCATTTGTTGAATAGATTGTACGCGTTGAACTCGTTTCTCAAATAAATGGGAATGTTGTTTTGCTGAATTTGAATATTTTTTTAATCGTTCTTTCAATTCGATATCGTAACAAAATTTTGAGTTATTTTAAAATAACGGAATTTAAAAACTACTTTTGCAAAAGTTATAGAAAATTTAATAGAAATCTTAAAATTTGTGTTCCAAAATTAATACCGCGAGGAAAATTATACTTTTATCTACTGTTTCGACAGGATTTTATTTCGTTAATTAGAATAATTGGTATATTTTAAAAATTTTTTTGATCTCGAACAGAATATATGTGCGAAGACATCAAATTTGACGAATCGTATTAATTTAATCTTTTATCTCGAATATTAATTAATATAAAATTTATAATCATATGGAAATATATCGTGCTATTTGTAAAAAATTGTCTTTCAAATTCCACTAATTAACTGACTGAGGCCGGAGCTGTGACATCCAAGCCGGAACTCGGATGAAATTACACGGTGTTCGATTCTCGATTCATCGAACTTTTTTTTCCCCTCTTATTTCCTCTCTCTTCCCCGCGTATTTTATTGATTATCGCACACGTGCATGAATCGAGAACGAATCACCTTCTCACATCGTTCGACAAAAAGAGATTGCACAGTATTCTTTTGCAAAATTAAACTTAATTAATTCTTTGAATTAAATTCTTTCGCAAATGTTCGTGAGTATCATTTGAAATGGTATTTCCATTTAGTTTGTTATTTTTTTTTTTTGTTCGACGAAAACAGTAGGAATCACGGTGACTTGGCCCAAAGAATGAGTATCCAAATGAAACGGTGTACTCCCTTTTGTCAAAATGTTCTCAGTTTTCTGATCCTGTCCAGACGGTTGTCCAAAAGACGGCAAAAATTGCTATATCGAGATGAGAATCATACGATACTCCGTAGCGAAGTGGAAGGGAATGAGAAAGAAGGGTAAACAAAAAGAGAGAAGAAAGATAAAGAAAGATAGAGAAAGGGATGAGAAATGAGGAGGAAAAGGACGAGGACAAACGCAGCTGGATGCTACGAGTGCACGAGAATCCAAGCTGTGTGTAAGTGGAAAGCACAATGACCGGGAAAGCTCAAACAATGCACAAAGGCTTTCGTATAATACGCCTGAGGCAACGTGTGGGCTTTAACGGGCTCGAAACGTCAGACCGCTAACTAGTGATGGGCTCAAGACACTTCGAATAATGTTTAAACACAGCTAACGCGATATTTCGATGTTAATTATCAAATTATTCCTTTATTATTAATTATCAAATTATTCTGTCTTCGTGCTTCTTTAAAAATTTCCACGATTAAAAGTAATTATTGGCTATCCATTTAATGTATTTCAATCAAGTTTAATTATTTTATAGTATTATATGTTTTAAGATCTTTTAAAATCTTGAAGAATAAGTCAAGTATTTCTATTTTTTTTTTTTATCAATTTCTATATCATTAAATGAGCACAAAACAAATAAAACCAATAAATTAATAAATTTTTTCTTCAAATTATTAACATAAACATCTATTGTGAGAAATTTAAAACTGTTACTCAGATTAAAATTGCATTCAATTAATAATGCAATAAATAAATAAAAATAATATTTTTATGTGTTGATAAAGTATCAATAGTAATATTCTATATTTTCATCTCAATAAATATCGATCGTAGTAAAACAATATCGGTATTTCACGTTTCGATATTAGTCTTTTCCCATCGCTGCAAACGTGTGCTATTCTCTCTTTCCACCATCTACTACTTACCCCACTCCAAAAGTATCGTGCTCCTCGTAGTTCTCGACAAGAAGCACGATCGCCTGGCACAACATCTTTCGTTGCAGATGTCGAGGGCACTGCAACTTATTACTATGGAATCAAGACGGATATCTCGTTGCTTTCGAGCAATTCGATTGTCGTTCGTTTTCGAGACGTCTGGAAAGCAGTTTGCGCAGCGGTGCTCAGCAAGTTTGTTCTTCTCTTTTTTTTTTTTTTTTTTTTTTTTTT